AAAAAGGGGGGGTGAGGAGGGACATTCTTTAATTCTTTAAAGAAAGAATAATAGAATTGTGAGAAATATTGTTTAGACTTACTCAGTATTATAAAAATAAATTAAGCACATAGACTTACTCAGTATTATAAAAATAAAAACTTAATTTAAGCACATCGTACCCACGTCACCCATCTCCCCTAAAAAAAAGTTCAAAATTCAGTCAACAAGTGTTTTCTGAGTACCTACTGCACGCAGGAATAGCTCTAGTAGCATGTGAGCCAATAAAACATCTAAGTTCCTAAGGCACGAAGGGGAGAAAACACAAAGGACTAAACTTAAGCACCTTCACTAACAAGTTTATAATTCATAAACGTATTAGAAAAGCCCAAGAAAACAATTGCACTATAGCACGTTTGGGTCTTGAGAGCACAACTTTCAGCTGCTAGTTAAAACTTCAATGTTAAGCTAAGGCTGTCCATCCAAACAATTGGCTTCAGTTTATTCTTTTATCACTTCTGAATGTATTCGATTTTATTCTACAAATAATTGCGCATCTTAAAAAAAAAAAAAAGCGATTCCTCTTTCCCCCAAACCAGCCCAGACACTGGCCCTCCTCTGTCCTGGGCACGTGTGTTTCCAAAGCTCAGCTGGACACCCTCTCACCTGAAAAAAAGTTTGGAGATGACGCTGGCCTTTTCCAGAGGCGACCTCTGCATGGTCTCTGGGGACGCCGAGGTCCTTGCCAGGGCAGCTGGGCTCGAGCTCCTAATGCACAACGCCCCACGCTTCGGGTTGCCTGCCTCTCGCCCCTTTTTCTCGGACCTGCTGTGATGTCATTTGCTTCCAGCTCCCCCCACCCCTCACCCCACAAGCCTCCTCTATCCTCGCGCTCCTTTCCCCGCCTCTACAGCCCAGGTTAAAAGCCAGGAGCTGCCTGGTCCGGCCCCACTTTTGCTCAAGCGACTTTTCCCTCCTCCTCCGCACCCCCCACCCCCCGACCGCACCCCGACCGCTCCTTCCTCCTCGCCTCCTTCCCTCGCTCTCTGCCCCGCGCCTCTCTTTCCCGATTCCAACTCCCAACCTGCCTCCCTTGCGCGCACTCCTTCCAAGTCCGCGTCCTTACCGCGCAGCGCCCGCCCAGCCTGCAGGTGAGGACAGTCGGGCCGCTCTCCAGGTCCCTCCACCCACGCTCTGGGATGGAGGAGCCCCGGCCCGAGCAGAAGCAGCCCTCCCCCTCCCCTGCCTCCCACCCTCCCGGACCCTCCTCGGCTCCGGCTTCTGCGGGACCTCGGCGTGCGGCCGCCAACTTCCCCGCGCATTCATTCCCTTTGCTCCCTTTTTCTGAGATCCCAGCCGGGCTCGTTACCTCCGCAAGGTTCATCCTAAAGGGGGAACAGAAATATGTCTCTCCCGTATCAAAATGCAGCCCCAGAGAGCCGGAAGGTCCCCGCAGTGCCTGATGTGTTCCCCTTAGCGCTTCCTTTGAGTGTCAGGGAAGAAGGAAGCTTTGTTAGTTTCAGGCTTAGGTGAGTGAGTTCCATGTGTATCTTAGACCCCGTAGGTGACTGGTTATTAAGGGACAGGAGGGGAGACATCCTGCACGAGGTACGAGGAGTTGTCCCTTTGTCCATTACTCGCCCAGGATCTATTCATTGTCCTACGTTTTTCAGACCGGGTTGCATTTTTTTATGTTTATTTTTTTATTCTAGAGGGAGAGAGAGAGAGAGAAACGTTGATTTGTTTTTCCACTTATTTATGTCTTCATTGGTTCTTTCTTGTATGTGCCATGACTGGGGATCAACCCGCAACCTTGGCATATACGTCGATGCTCTAACCACCTGAGTTACCCTTCAAGGTCCCCACTTGCGTTCTTATGAAAAGCTTTTGTGTGTATTAACCACTACATGACATGTGGACAGTCTGCAAACTATCCCGCCCTCCTATAGATTTCCTAGTCTCCGTCAGCAAAACATCTTGACTAATATGCTGAAAGGAATGCAAACAGTCTTTGAAGCAAAGGTAGCCTATTAACTCTGACCTGACTCAGAAACGCCATCTTCAACTCTGCAAGGACATCTAAGCTTTCTTTCCCAGATGTGGGCGCCTTAGCTTCCCCCAGTCTTGCTGCTTAGATTGTGTGCCTGGCTGTGGTTTTTAAAGAGCCAAGCCTTTAATTCCTGAATCCTATTGTTTAAAAGAGCACATTGATTTTAAACTGAAAAACTCAAATGAAAGTAAAAAGTTTGGTCTGATTACTTTATTGCCTCTACATCTAAGGCAAGAGTGTTTGCTTGTGAATTACCTTTTTGTTGATTTGTGGTCACCCTAATACAGTATAATTATGCATTTCATAATAATAGAAAGACAAGCCCATGTATATAAATGGAATGCATTCAGCAGATTTTTATAGCTCCAATTTGCATTTCAATGTCACCTTTTTTTATTTTAAATGGGTTTTTATAAACATTTAAGTTTTGTAATCCTAAATTTTAATAGAAGAGAAAATAAGATCAAAGAGATGAACCAAACTGCAGAAAGTCAGATACCAGGAAAGAACTTAAGTATTTCTAGAATCTAGATCATGATCCTTCCTTTAAATCTTGCATGTTTTCATCTCCAGTCTGACATATAAATTGGGGCCCTGTCTTCATTATTGACTTTTCCCAGGTTTGTGATTGAACTTTACCACCCCAGTACATTGTTTGCTTTATAACTGCTAGTGTAACCCATCAAATATAATTCATTTTGAAATAAATTGGTAATCAGTTCCTCTTTGTTACCACAAAGCAATAAAGGGATTAAACATTAATTCCAAAAAAAAGATCATAGAAGCTGACCAAATGATAATGGTGCCAAGAGACCCCCCAATATTTGTCAATCACCTCCTTCCTCTGGAAAGAATAAAAGAAATAGTGTGTATTTTTTTGAGTCCTACTATTTGCTAAGTATCATCCCTTGTAGGCCTTACAATAACTATGTGAATAGGTGTTATTCTCCCCAATTTCCAGTTGAAGAAACAGACAAGAAAAGTTAACTAAATGCTTATAATGGTAGAGCTAAGATTCACATTCAGGTCTAATTCCAAACCATCACTTCTATCAATGTGCAGTATTGCTTCTAATCAAACCATCCCTTGTGTATTTATAGGCTATTATTTACATGCTAACTCAGTCTTTCTCCTCACATTAGTTTAATGAAATCATATCTGATAGATCTATTCTAGAATGAGACAAGATAATAGAAACCTATAAACTAAGTAGCTACTGGATTTTTTTAAATAAATAACATTTAACTCTAATATTCCATTTTCAATGCGTGTATACACATGCACATAGGAAACCTTAGATTTCTATCATAAAAGATTACATATCAAGTTTGTTCTTAGCATCGTAAGACTTAACCATTATTCAGAATGTTAACATTTTGAGCAGACATGAACAAATTAAATGAGACATGATATTCAAGATTTGCATCTAGGTACATACCACATGCAAGAATTATAGACTTATGCAAAATGTTCAAATATGGCTGAAGGGCATGGCTGAAATCCCAAATGTGACTTTGAAAGTCACATGAAAGTCAGGAACATGAAAGAGATCAATGGGCCAGATGAGAATAGAAGGTGGTAGTAAGGAACAGTGAAGCTCTTCTCTCCAAGCTGCTCATAATATTTTATTATAATATTATAATAGCTTATTTTTGTTGAGCACTTACCATATATGCCTGGTGCCATGTCAATACACAGCATGCTTTGCCTTTTTAATCCTTATAACACCTTTCATGGGTCAGGTATCTTCTTCATTATCTATATATTACAAGTAAAGAAACTAAGGTACAAAAAGTTTAGTAATTTTCCCTAACAAGTTGCAGAGTAATTAACAGAGAAAACTCAGATTTGGACCTAAGCAAATCTCAAATTGACTGAGCACAAGAATTTAACCATTATACATACTTCACTACAGAATTTCCTAATGTTTTAAGCAGAACTGACCTTAAATATAGAATACTAGAGGCCTAGTACACGAAATACATGCAGTGGAGGGGGGGTCCCTCAGCCCAGCCTGCACCCTCTTGCACTCTGGGACCCCTCGGGAGATGTCCACCTGCCGACTTAGGCCCGATTCCTGGCAGGCGGACATCCTGTCACAGTTCGCGATCCTTCTTGCAGTCCGAGACCCCTCACTCCTTACTGCCCACCTGCTCGCTGCTCCTTAGTGCTGCCTTCAGAGAGGGGAGAGACTCCCGCCACCACCACTGCGCTTGCCAGCCGTGAGCCCAGCTTCTGGCTGAGCGGCCCTCCCCTTGTGGGAGTGCACTGACCACCAGGGGGCAGCTCCTGCATTAAGTATCTGCCCCCTGGTGGTCAGTGCGCATCATAGCAACCGGTCATTCTGCGGTCATTCTGCTGTTTGGTCGATTTGCATATTAGGGTTTTATTATATAGGATTAGGTGCCCATTTGTATGGCATTTTTAAATTGTGATAAAATATACATAACATAAATTTTACCATCTTAAATTAGTTTTAGGTAAAAGTCACCCCCATAGGAAAGAACAAATCATCAAAAAAAAGAAGTGTGCCCTGGCCAGGTGGCTCAGATGCTTGGAGCATCATCCCATGCACCAAAAGGCTGCAAATTCAATTCCCAGTCAGGGCACCTAGGTTGTGGGTTTGATACAGTCAGGGTCCTATGGGAGGCAACCAATCGATGTTTCTCTCTCTCAAAAATCAATAAAAGGACATATCCTCGGGTGAGGATTTAAAAAAGAAAGTGAGTGCACCCTGGCCCATGTTGCTCAGTGATTAAAGTTTCTGCCCACACACAGAAGAGTTGTAGGTCAGATCCTGGGCCCCAGCCTCAGTCTGGCCAAGTATAGGAGGCAACCAATTGATGACTCTCTCTCATATTGATGTCTCTCTCTCTCTCTCTCTCTCTCTCTCTCTTTCTCTCTCTCTCTATCTCTCCCCCCCTTCCCTCCCTTCCAATCTCTCTAAAAAATCAATGGAATAAATATCCTCCAGTGAGGATTAACAAACAAAAAAATAGAGAGAGAGAAGTGCAAATTTTTGCAGCTTCACATAAATAGGCTGGTTCTGCTTATAAATTTACCTAAGCTAGAAGGGTAACAGCAGCCACTGATGGCCAGAGATGCATGTACACATTATAGTCTTACAGAGATGTTTCAGACCCACAGGGAGGTGTCCTGATACATGATTAGGCCAGGTTATTGTTTACTTTTACTTCTTCCAACATTATGTTTGGGCTGACAATTCTGTTTATAAACACACATGCACACATACTTCTGTTTATATACATACATAACCCTTCTTCCTCAACCTCCTTGGAAACAGGAATGATGTGTTCTGTTTTCCTTACACTTTTCTGTTTTTTAGTAACACAGTATATACAATCATACAGTTATCTCCTGGGTCACTGCCCTAATAGTTAAAATGCCACCCTAAAGGAGAAATCTGAAGATGTTCAAGAGATGAATTGTTATTACCATTAATCTTTTAGCAAGCTCAGTGTTATGGCAGGTATACAGAATAAAGCAGGACCTCTGACCCTCAAAACTCAGAATCTACAAATGGCCATCAAAATTCTCTAAAGATGGTATCATAGTAGAAAAAGCTTGGCTTTAAGGCAAGGAAGAGCTGGGTTTTCAATCCTGGCATCACCACTGACTTAGTTATGTGGTCTTGGCTAAGTTAACTTTTCTGTGTTGCAGTTCCCTTGTCTAAAAATACAGTTAATGATAACCACTTCATGCACAGTACAGTAAATAAAGAAAAGACATTGTATGTATTATAATCATCAAACTTGCTAAGAGACTAGCACCTAATTATTCCAACTCCTAAAAAGAAAGTAAAATTA